ATGCACAACGGCTCCGAGACGAAAACCCGTTCCAGTAAAGGGATCGACGGAAAATGGGAGCACGAGACCTGTTCATCCCTCGTTGGCCCGAGCCTTTCGGAAGGCGTCGGTCGTCTTTTCCACGGTGTCTCGTAGAACGTCTTCCGGTCTTCGTGAAGTCGAGCACGCCTCGTTTGAAACAACCGACAGGATGATAATAAAAAAATTGGAATGTTTTGATACTGTCGTATTTTTTTTAGCGTGCCAGAGAAAGTTGGACGCATCACGGCACTCCTTCGTCCCCCCTCCACGTCCTACGACGATCCCCTCTGCGCGTGTCATTCGCTTCGGGCTCGCGCCCGAGCCGCATCGTTCGGTCGTCGCGTCGGTGGACCCCCGACGGGAAGAATGCGAGGCGCCGATGAAAACCGTTGGAAATGGGAAGACCTGGAGCGCGGAGATATTCGCCCTCGATGAGAACTTCGAGGTTCGAGGTGGAACGTTCGGATGCAGACGTCAAAAGGGACTTTCCCTCTCACGACGTCCCGTTTCGTGACGCGATCGCCTCACCCCTCTTCGCGCGTTCGCTGCCAAGCTCTTCTAAGGAAAGCGATCCCACCGGGTCAGAGGGATGTTCCTGCATCCAGTGGAATTTCGACTTTGGCGATTTCGTGCGTCGTGATACTGTTTGAGGAAAAATGATGCCAGACATAATGGATCGATATCGTTTCACTGCATGATATTTCAATTTTAGCCACGTAAACCGCCGATAGGTGACGCAGCCACGAACTCACTCGTTCGGTCTATTTCTATTATCGGCCGAATGAAACGTCCTGTAAAATTCTCGACCGAGAAGACGCGACACGTTCGTTGCTTATACCAGAGGTGTGCAACCTTTATCGGCAGTGGGCCGCATGGAAACGCGTGACCTTTGACCGCGGGCCACAGAATGCAAAATAAAAGGCTCCCCTCTTTCGTCCTCGGGGCATACGAGGGCATGAGGTCGCGCCGATCTGCCGATCGTCCTCATCGCCTCCCCACCCCAAGGAAATTCCAACGTCCAAAAATAGCCTTTGGCATCGAGACACTTTGGCTTCTTCCTCGGGACACATGGGACATATGCAGCACCGCGTGAGGAAAAATTAGAAGGAAGTGAAAGGACTCGGTCTATTTCTTGTTACTTAGGGTTGACGAATGTTGTGATGGGCCTTCGGCCGCCAAGAAACTCATCCATCCCATTATGCATTACCAGGCTGCGGGTTGCACATCCCTGGCTTATATCCTTCGTAGAAGTGGTCTTCAGAAATGATAGCAGATCTGCATTTGTATCACCTCTTGATCTTAATGATTCTGATATCGGAAGGATCGACAGAGGTCGTGATGTCACAGAAGTAGATGAAGGCGATCGACAAGTCGATCGAGACAATCGATGATCGAGAAGCAAGTGATCATAGTGAGACTGAAGGTTCAGGAACAATCATCATGTGATTCATATTTCAAAGTCACCAGAAGGTTTTCTCTTTCACAGGCACCTATGGCCCCAGTAGCAAAAAAATTTTTTAATCGACATTAATTGAAATGAACACCCGGGTGTTGATTCAATGCTTCATCTATGTTGATTCAATGCTATGTGCCGGGGGGGGGGGGGGGTTGAATGTTGATCATATGTTCAGTCCATTTGAAGCTCATGATCTTCTCAGTGATGGTCATAAATCTCATCATAAGAGATATTGTCTGGCCCTGAAAATTCTCATATGTAACAATGTTACACCGTAATCACTTCGAAGAACTAGGACCGATCTCAAGAAGTTCACAAGTCTGCAAATTCGAATGGGTCTTGCGACGATGCCCTCGATCGCTCATATGATCATCGACCAGATTTATGAGGTTTACATTGCAGGTTATGTCTTGGAATGGGTTCGAACTACTCCTTTGCGTGGTGCATTTCCATGACGATAGTAATATAGAAAAACGTGATCGGATCGCCAAGATTCCGCTTCTACTCGATGCTCTGGGGGATGATTACAAAGAGACGATGAAACCTGGTCGGGAGATCGTCATTACCGAATCGATGGTACCACGACCTGGTAGATTGGCATTTCGTCCATCGAAATGCATATGCCATTCACGTCTGAAGGAAGAATTGGAACACGAAGAAGCTAGGAAGACGATAGGGTCACGATGTGCCGTGTGATTTGTTCGACGCGACCCACCAATTTCCACGTGATGCTTCACGAACCGCCTTCCCGATCGATCGAGTTCATTTTTCATCGAATATAGTACATGAATGCTCCATAGAGGTCAATGTCGCGTTATTTCTCATTTACTCGAGGCAAAGCCTTCGAATTGCTAAGCAAAATGCATACAGGCATCGACCGAAACAGGAAAAATGTCGGAGTCGATCGTCAGCCACGGGTGGCTGAGAGGCCTGGCACGAACTTCCGAGTGTCAGCCACGGGTGGCTGAGAGGCCTGGCACGAACTTCCGAGTGTCAGCCACGGGTGGCCGACACGGCAGTCCGTGTGTTAAAGATAGTTGTTTTTGTTGGGAGCATATCGAACGGGATGCGGAATCGCTCGGCTCCCTTTCCCGTTCCGTCGGGTGGGATCTCTCGCCTTTTCTGCAGGCCCCTTTCGGTTCGGGCGGTCGCCACGTCGCGAATCGAAGCAACCACGCGAATCTCTTACGGGGTTTACGTCACTCGAACGGGTTTCCTCTCCTCCCGGAGTCGAAAGGATCCATCACGCTCGTCGATTTCGTTTATTCTTTGCATTCGTCCGTCGGTCCTTTCCGACTCTGTATATCTCCTCTCGTCGCGATGCGTCGGGAGCGAGGGGGTTCGGAGAGACCCCTCTTAGATCTGCGCAGAGAAGCGTTTCGGGGGCGGAACGGCTCGCACTTTAGGGCAGCGGTTCCCAGACTTCTTCGAATCGCGACCCACTCGTTGACGTCCGAGAAATTTTGCGATCCACCGGAATCCAGAACGAGGTCTTTTCAAAAGTACTCATCGTGCGACGAAAACCGATGGACCTTTCCTGCAGGGCATGTTTTAACCCGGGCGGATGCGGATGTAGTGATTTTCATACCGCGAAAATGTACGCGCCCCACAGTTTGGGAACCGCTGCTTTAGGGCATGCCGTGCGAGTCGACAGGGTGGCGAAACGCGCCTTTTGCACGGGAACCCGGGCGAGACCACGACATCGCGAAATCCGAAACTTTTGAACATTTCCTTTACGAACGAGATTCCTTTCAATTTCCAGGTTTCGTTTAGGGAAATACGATGTCATTACAGAGCCAAGTGTTCTACGCGAATGGCATTTCCCTCATGCTACCGTGCTCGGGCGAAATGGTGCAACTCGATGCGAGATGAAACCCGATCTCCCTCCGCTAAATGTGGTCGACATCGCAGACGGCCGAATCACGCTTTCGATGGATCCAACCGGGCAGGAAACGGATCTCCGACCGCCTCCGACGCGGATTCGCATCCTCTTGTCGTCCCGAATCCCTTTGCGGAAGGAGTTTGAAACCTCGGTAGGACGATGAAAGCTTTTTAATTCGGTGATACGTGCGCGAGTAAACGATCGAAATCCCGGCGCGAAAACGGAGCAGAGCTTTCGTTCGAAACGAATGTGGGGAATCGATCCCCGATTCGACCGGGTGCGTGGAGAAGCGAGCCTCTCGGTTCGATCCGAGTTCGGACGATTGCCCGAAAACCGACCGGGTGCGTGGAATCGAGAGTCCCCGGTCTCGACCGAACTCTGACACTTTCACGAATTCGTCACAGTGTGCACAAACTTCTGGCCACGAATCGCTCGGGCGAAATGGCTCGTTTTGAGCAAAACCGATAGGAACATCCAATTCTCCTGCGGTCCCTATCCTCTACGCGATCGTCTTCCTCGTTTGTGACACATAAGATGTAGAAATGTGACAGAAAATGAGTTTTGATCGGTCTCGTGTGAAAATGATATTAAAGTGACTGTCTCATCTTCGTGAAACTTCGTTACTTCCTTCATCTGTTTTGGAGAGTAGTCGAGGCACGTCACGAGCCCACAATTAATTCCGCGCCCCTCGTTTTGTTTTTCGAAGAAATGAAAATCCAAATCAGCTTTTTCGGCATAATTGCACCGACGTCAGGTCTCGAAACGCGAAGGGAAAGGGACTGCACTTTCCTTTCGAATGGTTTACGTAAAAAACCATCAATTTCCGAGCAAGGGTGAGAGCGGATTTCAAGTTTAAGAGGTTAGAATTCTCCAGCAGGAGTCCTGCGGTTCTTCTCAATGTGGGGATATGCCCACTTTGGGCCCACTTTGGGTCCACATCGGGCCAACATCGTTCCCCATCGTTCACGTTCCGCCAACGTTTCCCACCTTTAGACAACGTTGGCCCAACGTAACCTGTTATCCGGGTGGGTACTGCCAGAAAAGACCTACATGCGACACAAATTGATGAAGTAGGCCACGTAGCGTGAATCCCCTCGGTTAACTCAGTTCTTCCAGTCTCTATTCGCTTGGAGTCCTGTAAATTCACGGAAGGAGAAAACTTCCGAGTGAAAGTAGAGGACCACGAGAGACGAATATCCCTAACTCTGTCTTCAAAATAAAGGAATGAATACATTTAAAAAGGAGATGAACAAGTTGGTGGTAGAGTCCTCATCTTCATCATTTCGAATCGAAGAGTTTTCAGGGAGGTTTTAGCCAGGAAATGATGGAATCTCACGAGTCCAATTGCCGATCGGGCTCACTCCTTCCATTTCGATCCTCGATCGTTATGTGTCGAGTCAGGATTACAGACTTTCCTAAGCAGCAAAATTACATCTCCAATGCATCACGATTCAGCGAATTTGCTTCAGATTATACTAGGAAGATATCGTATCGTCAGAAATTTGTCGAGAGTCGTACTACTTTCCCTCCCCATTTCGCACAACGATGCGAACCGACATACTTGAAAATAAGTCATTTACTGCCGAGTCTCGAAATTTGACATCGACTTATGGCACGTTCCATATAAGAATGACGAAAAAATGTATTCTCCTTTCCAGTGCTTTTATTTTCGAAAAAATAGAGCAGTGACCGAGGAAAGAGCGATGGTCATTTTCCACCGTGTTCACAGAGAATGCAGTGGCACTCTCCATTAAGGCAGTATCCCGTGTTGCAATCCCGAGTGAGCTTGCACCAATTGATGCAAGCGATGTGGCCTGCCTCCCCGGGGAGAAGGCAGAGCTGAGCATGAGCACTCTCCCAAAGGCCAGCAACAACCAAAACCATAGTCACGACCAGCAGGAACTTCCCCATGTTCTCCAAAGCCTGTAACAGGTTTCCATCGTTCGCTTCACTCGACGATACGACAATGCACAAACGTGTTCCGCATTCGAGTGAGGTCTTCGGCTTTAAAGTCTGGGAAAACGTCGTCTGCAAAATTATTTACGATCGAGAACAGAAGCTAATTCCCTCCTCGATGTATGCGTAGGATTCACAGCAGAACGCCTACAGTGCTGATGCCGTGATCGCTGAAAACCAGTAGATTAAAATAGATACTTCCTCTCATTCGTTCGTTCTCACACGCATAAAAAGACCAAACTGTGATAACGGTGAAAAAAGCGTCATAAAAAATTTTTTTGACCCAGGAGAAAGAATTAGCGAGGAAAGACTTACTTGTAGTCGAATGCAAGTAGACAGCAGCAGGTGACGAAGTGTTTCCGTCGAGGAGGTCGCAATGGATTTGCAGTGATGGATGAACCGAGCTTGGTCTTATATAGGGCAAGGAGACCTTCACTTGTTGACGTCGCACCTCCTTTCCATATCCCATTGTCGTCATCTCAAATGCAATTGCGTGCCATTCTGCTCGTTCCGTCACTAATCGCTATTTTCTTCTACTACGTAAAATGTTAATGCCAGAACATGACGTCGCAGCGATGGTTTCTTTGGCTAAGTTCAGAATGTATTCCAAACATATCATATTTTGCATGAATTTCAAGAAGAAAAACGACATTAAAGGACGTTCTGGGACGCTCTGAAGACTTCAGGAACGGCAAATTACAAAAGCATTTAGGTCTTTCAACAGATGTGAATATGGCCCGTGGTATTCCTTCCTTTTCGTGGCAGGACGACGATCCAAGAAAATGTCTGCGTGTCTCAGGCAATTAAGAAGAAGTGGGTAAGGGAAAGAGGACTTGGATTTAATAACCCTCGAAGGCTTTACTCTTCCGAATAGTCGTCGAGAGAGCCCTCGTCTTCAGTCCCATGCTTCATTTGCTCGTGTCTCACTTGGACTGGACTTCCGTCATCTCTCCTGCCCTTTTCACCATGTTTTTTCTCGAGGAAACTGGATTTTATATCCTTTTGAGGTCGAATGACGTCAATGGGATTTCTCATGGCTGACGACGCGGAAATGAAAACGACGCTCGCATTTGCGTTGCGCCTGCAGCATCGGGGGTCACTTCTAAGACGAACGGGTATTGCCCATAGAAGGACTTCCTTCTCCCGGACACGCCCTATTGCGCACACCAACAATTTCATCAGCACGAGACACGTAACCCATAAGCGCGCAATTCGTGTTGACCCTACTTGTCCATTTGCGCACACAAGAAATTACGATGAGAAAAATGACGTCTGCAAGACCATTCGACCTAACGTTCAGTTCTTTGGAGGGAAAAACTGGGACCTTGTTCATCGGTCCTCTTCAGAACAAGTCCCTCGTCGTATAATTAAAAACTACCACAATCGGTGCACGAAAACTTAAAACTGTTGGATTCGTCCATGCACGCGTTCGCGCAACTCTTCCCACCGTTGTTGCCTTTGCAATCATCGCCTGTTTTGCTGTCACGGTTTCGATGGGACACGAATGGAACCGCTTCGGGTTCCTCATTCGGGGACCCGAGAAATGGCCCCATCGGTTCCTCTCGGTGCACGGCCGTGAGATCGAGTCCGACATCGCTCGACGAAAGGATGGAAACTCGTCGTCGTCCACCGACACGGTCGATGGTTTCTTTCCACGCGAGCTCGAACCACACCGAATGGGCTCGTCTGGATACCATCCATGGTACGACGAGGGCACATCGTTATTTCTTTCACCCAATTACATACAGTGTTTGTAATTGGTAATCACCGGGCGGAAAGCGTTCGCGAAAAGAGCCATCACCGAGGAAGCCTGACTCTCGGATCGAGACTTCTCTTCTTCGGAGCGAAACGGAACAAGGAGCAGAGTGTAACATCCGCCGTCTCGGAACCATCGAAAACCTGAGCCAACTTCCACGTTTACGAATGCCTGGAAATCAAACAGACTGTCGATCCGCCCTATATTTATATCCATCGTTTAACGTTTTCTACACCTCGAGAGAGAGAGTTCGATGAACTCGTAAGGGCGTTGCGGTAGGTCAGGAATTTCTTAGCACGTATGTCGTGGTTCGAGACCGTGGTATCTTCGGGGGGGTGGGGGTGGGGCTCCGGCGGCGATATCCTCACATCTCACATCCCCACAAAACACCATGAAGGTATTGGGTGCGGAGCCACACACACACACACACACACACACACACACACACGTGTGAAGCGACGGTACGATCAGGGACCGAGTCCGATATGAAGGATCTCGGTCCATCGGTCCAGCTTAAATGCGCTCCCGTCACTTCCGGCACGACCTCCGTTTTCTGCATCTGTCGGCGTCGCCATCCATGGAGATTCTGTCGATCGTTCGCAATGGACTTCTTTTTTATTTTTCTCAGAAAAGGGTCCTAGCATGGTGCCGTGGCGGCGGTATCGTTAAAGGTGGCATCCTAAGGTTTCCAGACCGTGGTTTCCACACGAACGCGGGCGGTATTGCGCGCAATTCGCGCAGGGGCGATCGCACGCGAAGAAGTCGAACGGGTCGGACCGAAAACCGTACGATCCTAATGCCGCCATTCCGCTACGCCCTGGTCGTGGTAGGACGCAGTTCCTTGCGTGCTCCCAGGCATATTGCAAGTCGTGTTTTTTCCTCTCTTCATATTAAAGAGTCGTTTCTTCCCTCGTGTCATCTAAGCGCTATCGTGCATGATTTTTTCTTTTTCGTCGAAAAAAAAAGTGGTGCGTTTTGCCTCGGACCTAGAAATAATGAATTCCTCAAATTTTTAAGTCGAAGGCCCGAAAATGTCATCGTTACACATCTGTTGCAAACGACATTTTCAGTTTTTTAATCCATGTTTGCATAGAAGTTAGAGATTCCATCGGTCGATCGGTCAACCGTCGTACATAACGAATATAAACATGTAAATACGTGAATGCACCTGGCCACTGGAATAGCGCAAAGTTGAAAATGCTTGCACCAACTGCGGCTTAGCGCCGGGAGGAGCGGGGGGGGGGGGGGTTCGTGCCCCCCCCCCCCCTTC